ATATCAAGAATTACCACTGTCCTTCAATTATCCTTTTTTTTGAAATTGGATCCCAAAGGACCTTCTTATTCTCCAACCTATGTTCTGGTCCCTTTTTGTGGAGGAGAAAACAAATTGCTGAGCATATACTGTATACATAACTGGTTTAATCTTGTACCCATTTACTTTGGAGCAAGCCTTATTAAACTCAGTGGAACTTAATTCTGAGTAGCCACGAACAGGATTGCACTGTTAACCTTGAATTGCCTTCTCTGTTTTTAGTTTTCAGCTCTGTCATATGCCTATGCTGTTCAGCAGGAAGCATATGGATTCTGGATGGGTTTGTATACATCTCTTGATAAAAGCATCAAGAAGTCATTAAAATGCCCAAAACAAATCTAAACCTCTTGCAGCATTTTGTCATTCCTGCAACAGTCGGAATCAGCTAGTGTCTGTTTGTTATTTTACCTTGGGGGCTTTTGTGTCACCATAGATTACATAGAAGATTGACCAAGGCAGACAGGATTAATGATACTGTACTAGCTATAGAAGCAGACTTGTTATATGTGTACAAAGTTTCCATCTGCTTCCTAACATAACCCCCCCCCCCCCCGTATTTAAAAACATGGGAGACCCAAAGATTAATACTTTTTCAAGAAGAAAAACTTAGGTTACTGTAGCAGAGTACCTCTTTAGAGCATTTTCACATGTGAGGCTAACAAGCACATGGAATCTCTCCCGCTAGTTCCACCTTGTGTGAATTATGTTGATGCAGGACAGAGAACAGAAGAGAAATGAAAGGTATGCTCCTGCCCAGGGTGGTCCAACACGCAGCCCTGAGGCATTTTTGGTGGCCCTTGGTAACATATGAAAGTCCCCCCCCTCATGCTGCCTTCCCAAAGCTAGGTGAGTGAGGTGCTGGGCTTTGGGAAGGAAGCCTGAGGGCTCTGACAGGGTCCCAGAGTCCTTCCACCTCCTTCCCAAAGCCCTGTTTGTGCTTTCTCAGCTTTGGGAACCAGGTGGGAGGGCTCTAGGACCCTGCTAGAGTCTTGTGCTTCCTTCCCAAAGCCTGGCACTTTGCTTAGACAGTTTTGGGAAGGCAGTTTGAGGGGAGGGGGCATCAAATTTTGGCCTTGCTCCCTGTTGTGCAACAAGGCAGTCAGCAGCCTGCAGATTCTGTGCCAAAGTACTCTTGTGGCCCAGTTGGTATGAAAAGTTGGGTCACACTGCTCTAGCCAATGAAGGTTTAATAGACACATTATTGGCAGTTTTAAGAACAAGGCTATTTATAGCACAATCTTATACATGTCTACTCTGAAGTAAGCCCCACTGAGTTTAATGGGTGTTTCTCCTAGGTAAATGAGCATAGGGTTGTCCTTAATTAAGATCACTACAGTCTATTTGAGCAACAGGCATATCAAACATACATATCTTTTTAAGTGAGTTCCACTAAAAGGAGGAGTCTTAGTTCAGTGATAAGGGTATCTGCTTTGCCAGGGAGAAAACCCAGGTTCAGTCTCTGGCATTTACCCAGATAGGATGGGCAATTTCACCTGTTTGAAACTCTGGAGAGTGGAGGCAATACTGAACTAAATGAAGCAATGTTTTGGTATAAGGCAACTTCTGATGTTCCTAAGTGTTCCAGGAGGTAGGTTTTTCTGTATCAATTTCTATCATCATCATCATCATCATCATCATCATCTCCTTTTGCCTTCCTCCTCCACAAATAAGTTTTGTTTATCTAAGACAAATTCATAGATCATCATGTCAGCTGAAGGTATGAATCAGTATATTTCTACCACTGACATTTCACCTTTAATTATTTGTAGATCCAAACAGATGATTCAAACATTTCACCACCCCCACAAAGGCTGTGAAAATACTTCTATGGGGTGCGGCCATAAGATTTGTATGCCACTTATTGTGTCATCCAGCCCAGTCATGTGGAGAATAACCATTCGAGCACCACAGGTTCCTGGAGGTAGCTGTGCTGGCATAAAGCAATTCCACACAAGTGGGTGGCAAATAACCCAGTTGTGTGTAGAATTATTTTTCACTGCCTCAACATGGCCCTGAGGGGATTTCTGTATCTTTAATAGCAGCATAGCAGGAAAAGTCACAGCGCGTAGGGCTTTTCTAATCACCCTGCCGCAGTGATATGAAAAATTACACCAGGTGAAATGTTCACTTCAATGCGAATCTAAAGTTACAGAAATTTTCTGTAACTGGAAGTTCTAATTACCGTACACGCTTTACCTGGGCAACATATACTGCAGTGGGAGATCCCGTTATTGCTCTCTGTGCCTATACATATATGCCTAAGAGGAAGGCACACTTGGCAAACCCACACCGTGATCAACTCCCACCCGGAAACTAATGTCCCCACTGTGGAAGGACGTGTGGGTCCAAAATTGGCCTCCATAGTCACTTACGGACTCATTGTTAAAACCATGTCTATGGAAGACAATCTTACTTGGCTATGAGTGATCGCCAAAGAAGAAGAAGAAAGATGCCCCTGTGCTTGGACTTTATGTCTGTGGCACTGTGAAGCAGAGCAGGAAGATAAATTACAGTGGAACATAGGAAAATGCCTTATATTGCTTTGGACAATTGGTCCACCTAGCACATTATTGTCTGTGCTGATTGGCAATGGTTCTCCAATGGTTTCAGAGAGGGATCTCTCCCAGCCCTACCTGAGGATTCTGGGGATTGAATGTGGGACATAGCTGTCAACTTTTCCCTTTTCTTGCAAGGAATCCTATTATTAAAAAAGGGAAACGTTGACAGCTATGATGTGGGACCTTTTGCATGCAAGGCCCTATTGGTGCTGCTGCTACTGGGTGTTGCCAAGTTGGTGTTGACCTGTGACAGGGTCTTCTCAGTGGTGGTTCTCTATTTCTGGAGTGCCCTCCCTAGTGAGGTGTGGCTGTCCCCCTTCATTAACTTTCAGGAGGAATTTGAAAACACTCCTGTTTTCCGTGGCATTTGACAGCTGAAAGTTTCTGTTTCTGGCGGCCTTGAAACTATTGCTGTGAAAGTATCTGACTGTTATAAGGTTTTTTAAAAAACATGTTGCCGTTTTATTTTTAATCGTATTGTTTTTACACTGATGTTTGCTGCCCTGGACTCCTTTGAGAGGAAAGGCACGATATAAATTTAATAACTAACTCAAAAAGTATGTACTCCTTCACTGAAATATGACCCTTTCCATGGTACTGCAATCTTACACAGAAGCAAATCCCATTGAGTTCAATAGGATTTGATCCCAGAAAAGTGTGTTTGTGCCCAAACCTGTCTTACTCACAGGAAAGTGTGTGCATCTGATATCTCATATTTGCTCCCCAGGACTCCAAATGTCTAGATAAATTATCAGAAAGAGATACATTATTTAGATGTCAAGCAAACCAAGCACAAAGATTTTCCTGTTTGCTCTAGTAACTCTTTGCTTAATGCTAGTTATATCTTAACAGCGCATACATGAATATAATAACCATGTAAACAAAACATGGAGACTGTGACTTTGTTATGTTTGACAGGTTCAGCTCGCTAGGCAGGTAAATCCAGGTCTCACTGAAAGCTGTCAGGAAATAGATGTGAAATAATAAGATGCTTTCATCACAATCCAAAAGTTGAGCTGTCATTTAGCAATGAAATTAAAGGAGCAACAATTGGAAAATGGGCAGTATAATCTGAATTAGTGTATAAACTGGCATACTCATGCATATATGTCCCACTTTTTCAGTGAGGCAAACTAGCAAAATTCACCACTTGGAAAAGCTCTGCTGGATGGCTACTTGCAGGTGCACTGATGGCAGAGAAGTAAGCTCTGAAGTAGGTATGATGGTGTAGTCTCATCTGTTTTCAGTCAGGTTCAGACTGAGTCTTATGCAACCTGTGCTCTAGCCACCAACGCTCCTCTTTCATCACATGCAGGTCACTAGAATACCAAGGCAATCTATGTGCTCTCTACAGCAACACTGAGGGCAATCAGGAGTGATTGTGTCAATGACTCTATGTATCTTACCATTCAACAGTGGGACAAGAGCCTCGACAGGAGCCACCAGCCATATCAGGAATATTAGGAAGACTTTGGGCACAATCAACTAATGAAATCCACAATTATTTAAACTTAAATATATCAAAGAAATCTACTTCCACATTAATTCATTTAGGACTGCAGTGCAAAGCTATGTTAGCACACTTAGGTAAAAGTAAGTGTCACAGAATCAACAGCTTTTGATTTTTGTAACTAAATTCCCCCAGAACCACTGTAGTACAGTGGGCCTATGGCTCCAAGCATCAGTGTGACTTAACTCTGACTTGTTGTTTCGTCGTTTAGTCGTGTCCGACTCTTCGTGACCCCATGGACCAGAGCACGCCAGGCACTAGTGTCTTCCACTGCCTCCCGCAGTTTGGTCAGACACATGTTTGTAGCTTCGAGAACACTGTCCAACCATCTCGTCCTCTGTCGTCCCCTTCTCCTTGTGCCCTCAATCTTTCCCAACATCAAGGTCTTTTCCAGGGAATCTTCTCTTCTCATGAGGTGGCCAAAGTATTGGAGCCTCAGCTTCACGATCTGTCCTTCCAAAACCTAACTCTGACTAAACCTGCATGTAATTTCTCAGTATGTCTGGGTACTGGTATTAGTAGCATAATGCACACCAAGGCACTTTATACATTCCTTTATACATTCCAGACATGAGATCTGGTATTGAAAATAGGTTGTGGGCTTGGTTCTGATTAAGTACTTCATTGTTCCTCCTTTTTCAGTCACCACTATTAAAGTCTAACTTAAAGCTAGGTTATATTGAGTCACCTTGAGAATTGTCACAGTAGTAGTCTTTAGTGCACCTATCAAAAAACAAATACCATAACGACCCAAGGCACACTCCTGAATTGGGGAATATCAGGAATTTAGTAGTCATTTATTTATTTTTAGTGTCTTGCCATAACACATCAAAGCAACTTATAATATTTTAAGCAAAACACACACACACACACACACACACACACATTAAAAGCAGCAGTTTAGAAAATTGGAAAGACAATTTTATTTTTAAAAAGCTGGATAAAAACAATGCACCTATGCAAAAAGGCCACAGATAAATAAAAGCCAAAGGCCTGATGAAAAAGGTATGTTTTTGCCTGGTATCTAATGATGGTGCCAGACAGTGCTCCCCTGCCCCCCAAAAAAACGTTTAGGGGTACTCTCATTTTCCTAAGTGAAACTTAGATTCACAAAATGTTTAGGGGCATGCGTGTCCCCAGAAAAAAACACTGATGCCTGGCAATTGTTGGGGAGAGCATTCCACAAGTGGAGAGCCACCACTGAAAAGGCCTGTTCTTATGTTGCAGCCTTCCAGACCTTGTGTGGAAGGGGCACATGAAGGGCCTCAGATTCAGCCAGATCAAAACTTAAGAATCAGAATGTTGTATCTTCTTTAACTCTGGTTCTGGCCAGAAAAACAGTGCTGGAAGTAGAAATATACATATATATATAAATTCTAGATACAGCCACTTTATGGTGAGAATGACTGCCTTTTCCCTGCAATTTGTGTTAGTGCTTTACAGTCACTGCATGGTAATCCTGTGGATGTCTCAATATTAATTTAGATCTGACACTCATTCAATAATATGCAATACATGTTGATCCATCCATAAGATACAGATGGGTGTGGTTATCCACCCCTGTAGGAAGACACCAAGAGATTGGTGTGGCTAGATGTTTGGTAGTGATTGGTACAGCTAAATTCACACATGTTCACCTTGAGTTGCCACCTTTTTTCAGGAACGGGCTGTTGCTCCTTTATAAGCTACTCAACATGCAAAAATTCAACAGGTAAAGTTCCCATCAGCCTGCATTGCCAGGGAAAAGCATCACCTACGGAATTCATGTCCACCATGCAGGCTAGGCACAGAAACACTATTAAAAAGAAGTGGCAATCCTTACACCTTCTAGTTAAGACGTGGCTTCTGAAGCCACCCTGAGATCCACAATTTATAAAGCGCTCTCTACACATTTAGCAAAAAGAACAAAACGCCCCCTCGTTCCCCAAAGCTGCAACCTTTCCTACTTGGAAATAATACTCACTGAATTTTACTTAGAAGCCATACTAGCTTCTGGAGTAACGGTGCTCCTTGGGAACAGGATTGCACCCTTTACTTACTTCCTAGAAACACGCATATAGGCTTGAGTTGTTGGGAGTTTCTCTTGCATTTCCGGATATAGAGTCTTCGTCGTTCTCTCTGCTGGAGAAGGCCTACACTACAGTAACCCCGTGGCACAGGACACAGAGCACGTGAATTTACGACAGCTCCTCTGAAAGCGCACCACAAAACCCTCCTCTCCTGCGCCTGCAGTTCCACCACCAGCAGCTCTTTGCCGAGCCCACCTTTGCAGCTCCTCCGCCGCCCCCTTCCCTTCTGCAAGGAAGCAGGAGGAAGAGGCAGCGGAGGGAAAAACCCGCCCGCCCGCGCCAGCCTTTCCTTTCTTCCCCTGCACCATTTTAGGCCAGTTCCTCGGTGCGGAGCCAAGGGCGCCCCCGGTGCAATCTGCCCTGCTGCTCCTTGCAATGCTCATTCTGCCGCTCCTTACACAACCCGTTCCCGGCCTCCCCGCCCCCTCCCGGCCCGGCCACTTGCGAGCATTTGACAGAAGGACGAGTCACGTGGCGGCCGGAAAGCGTCTCTTTGCGACCTCAATGACAGGCAAAATGTGCGACAGCCGCTTGCAAGGCAGGGAGGAAGCTGCTCTGGAGTCTCCTCTCCTTCTTTAAAGGCAGGGCTGGCTGCTGCCTTGCACCCTTCAGGTCCGGAGTCCTTCTTCCCCGAGCTCCCCAGTAGCCGGGGCAGTGGATTTTGGGAGAGAGGAGATATTTGGGGAGAGGCTCCGAGGGGTTTGGCTGAGTTTGGAGTTTTAGATGAGCTCTTAGCCTCCCTTTCTCTCTCGTCCCCCCACCCCCCGCCCCAGCCCCAACTCCCTGGAGCCCGGTTCTCGCCAGCAGCAACCTGCAGGTGCACAGTTCAGATAGGAGGAGGGGACACTACCGGCTGCAATGGCGTCCAACATGGATAGAGAAATGATACTGGCTGATTTTCAGGTAAATTTCAAATTCCACCACATCCACCACTGCCATATTCTGATCATAATCTTTCTCGCTCTTTTTATTATTATTATTTTAAAAATGGTTCCTTTTCTCCCCGTTTCTCTGCTTTCTGTGCTTTTGTGGGGAGATTTTCGCTCTGGAAACGTGAGTCCTGCTCTCAAACAGCAGTGGGATAACAAGGAACAACAACAGCAACAACACTCTGGAGGCTGTTTATCCATTGTATCTAGTTTTCGGTATTCAAAGGGAATAAATAAGACGAAAAAAGCTCCTCCACTTATAAACAAGGCATTTCTCTCTGTGCTTCACAAAGAAAAAACCACCTCAGATAATATGCATATGTCTTTGTTTTGTCTGGGTTTTTTTTAGGTTTGTATCCTGATCTCCCCGATTCATTCTGACCATCCCTGTGAGCTTTTAATAATAAATTGCAAGGGGCAGGGACTAAGATGCTTTCATTATAAGGGGCTTGCCAACATTCCAGGGGCCCATACCTGTTTCACTCATGGATATGAGAGGAAAGATGTTAAAGAAGGGGGTAGGGGTGGAAAAGACATCTGGAATAAGAAAATCCACTGATTCCCTTTCCACTAAAATTGATTTTCAAAACATCCAGTTTCAAAAACATACGTAGTACTTCTGTAAGAGCTTCACTTCATCCATGGTGTGCATTTTTTGTGATATTTTTATATTCTTCCATTATAATTTCAGTTAATAAGGCAGTTTCCTTACCAACTTCCTGTCTGAGGAAATTTTCTAACATGAACTTGTTCTGAGTCCAAATAGGATACAGTCCAAATCTGAAATATGTATTTTGTTGTACATATTTTTAAAGTATAACTAGGAAAAAGCAGTGCTCTCTTGTACCATGCTTGTTCATAGGTATTGGGATCTTATGTATGTATAGTGTGTATGTATCTGCATAACATTTAAAGATATACATAGTACTCACAGTTCTAGGGACTTTATTTCTAGGTTAAGGCTAAAACCCAGTATCTTACTAGAAGTGTACCTTTAATAATTTTCTAAAAAATATTTTCACTTCTGCCTTTCTGCATATGAATGCATGCTTTTAAAAACAATAACCAAGGTATATTTAATTTTCTTTTTTCATAGAAAGTTGAATGGGTACATGTTTAGTAGTAATACTACATATCACTTAACAATGTCAAAAATATAAATTGTAAAATGAACATAGAATTTTATGATTGACATCCTAGTTCCAAACAAACTCACTAGCATGATTATCATCAGTGAGACTTTTAAAGAACATGAGTGAAATAAGTTACACATAAGTATGTATGCAAGGCTGCTGTTCTGGGCACCCTTACTTGTTGTACATAAGTCCCATGGAACTCACTTCAAAGTGAACCTGCAGTGAATTCGGCTAATTAGGAACAGAAGTCAACTTACGATGGCCAGACACATATGTATACTTCAACATTTTAATGAAAACTCAATGGAAATTCCTTTTTTTGTTGGATCTTAAGAAACCATTATTACATTAATAGAAAACGTACTTGTTTATAACACTAATAATATTTGAGGTCAGTTTTAATATTTACAACACATTAAAATGTACTGTTAAGATCTCATTCCAGAGGATCAGAAAGTTGTTAATTATGTTTGGAAATCTTCAGAAACTCACTGAGCTTGTTGATATTGCCTGTTCTACCTGAGCAGGGAAGTTCTGATCTTGTTGTACCAACTTGGTTCTGAGCTTTTGATTGAAGTCCACATTTACTGTATTTTAAACTTATATTTTATTAAACCTGCATTTTCATGTCTGCTTGTAGAGATGTTCTACAATTGCAGAGAATGTCTGCAAGGAATTAAATACTCTGAATAAATGTGTTGACCGCTGTAAAGATAGACACCTTATAAATAGACAGAAAAATCTACCTATATTTAATCTTAGTCTTTGAGCTGGTAAAAATGTGGCATTTTTTGGCAAGCTGCAAACCTCCTCCACATATACAGTACATTGTATTTTTGGATCAGGGTTTAACTAATGTATCACAAGGTAGTGTAGGAAGTTTCTTTCCCCTGCTGCAGCTCTAATTTTAAATGTGATTTAAGAACAACAATGATGAACTCAGAACTGCCTTAATTATAGTTCTGTAGGTTTATAACTTTCTGAGGTCCATAATTTAATAACAATTTATCATATAGGGTTGTTTCATAATGATTTATTCATTTTAGGCTTTATTAATCCTATAAATCACTGTTTTGTGTAATATTGTTGCAGATATAGTTTACTAGTTCTCAGGACTTATTTGGTAATCATTCTCATTTTTACCGATTGCAAAGCTAAGGATTAATGACTTCCCCAAGGTCACCTGCACTTCAGTCATAATAACCCTTATATAGGTGTAAACTCCATTGACTTCCAAGTATGTGTAACTAGGACTGAAGCCTTCTTCAATCACCCTATGCATAAGTACCTAGGAATAATTCCCATTTAATTTAGTAGGATTTGCATCTGAGTTCTGCAAGTGACCTAAAGTGGGATGAGTGGGATGTGAATCTAGGTCTTCCAGGTCCTGGTACACTACTTTGCAAGTTGACCATATCACGGTTTGATCTTATTCTTTTGGTATTATTTTAATATGTGTTTTTAGATGGATTACTATGTTTGTACATATTTAAATTGGGATTTGAGTGTTTTGGTTCTACAGCTTCTAGGATTAACACATGACTTTTTTGTCATGCATTATTTTAAAAAAAACCCCTCAGGATTCCCATATCTCTTGTTGACTGAACAAAGAATGTGCTGAGTTAATGATGTGGCGTCTACAGCACTCATTTGTAAATAGGGGGACAATCGAAATGCTTTATTGCTGTTTCTGTTTCATGTCCTTTGTTTAAACAGCTATTTTCACAGTGCAAACCTATACATGTCTACTCATAAGTAACCCCCATTGAGTTCAATGGGAGTTACTCCAAGGTAAGTGTGTAATAGGCGCTGCCTGATAATAGCAGATTGCGTTGTTAGTATTTTTTGTACTACAATAGGTCTTATTAGTAGGATAATTCTTTAAATATATATACTATACTATCTCACCTATGCATGGACCTCTTATAATTCAAGTGTGGAAGTGCCTTTCCCCACCAGCGTACAGCTAATGATTTTTTAAAATTGCCAAATATTTGCTTTTTCTGAATTATCAGTGAAATGATGCTAATTGCAGTGTACAGACATGAATTCTAAACTTGTCCTCTAAAACATGTTTTTCTTCAGTTTCTGGATAACAACTATCTATGAACTATTTCTAAGCTCAAATAATAGAACGTTGCTATAATGCTAATGGTTTGTACTTTCAGCATTTTCTTTTTGCTTATTTGCAGCATGGCAAATGTTACTTTAGGGTGCAGAAACTTAAATTTCTGACTCTAGTACTTAAAGTTGTACTTTGAATAAAACTTAAACAATTTGTTCATAAATGTCCAGCACACATCATGATTTTACCATATGATTACATGCACTTTGTTTTCACCTACTTAGGAGTAAGTCACATTGAACTCATTGGGACTTACTTCTGAGTAGGCATGCACTGTCAAGATTCTAAATCTGATAAGACATTTCTGAATATACTACTTCATTCCCCCACCCCATTCTGTTGCATTGACTTTAATGAATGAGATTTACACACACATTTAACTCTTCCACTGACATCAGTTGGGTGTAAAAGTGGTTTACTTTGGTTGGTTCATGTTCTTTATCTTTAAAGATTGCTATGGGATTTCGCTTTTGTCAGAGATGTGATTCCCAAAGGGTTTCTACTTAATAATTCACCTCCGTAACTGGCAGATCAGGGAGCGTGGAAAAAGTAGGATCTTGGCCAGCTTTCTTATGGCTAGCAGGCATAGATTCCTAGTTTGCCTAGTGTTTTGGTTCTGCCCAATGCTTTTTTTTCTAGAAACATGTTTAGGGGTACTCTCATTTTGACTCAAGGAAATCACATTTTTATAGGTCAGATGGGGGGGGGGGATACAGTAAATGGACAAAAGTACAAAGATTCACAAAATGCTTAGGGGTATGTGTCCCCCTCCGTCCCCCCAGAAAAAAGCACTGGTTCTGCCCGATTGTGTGGTTTGCATTGGGCTGGTCACCCAAGTCATGTTCCTAAGCGCGTGACCCATTTAATCTAAACAGCAGGTTGGAATGACCACCAATGTAATAGCTTCGCTGCAGTTGCTGTCCAGTTGGGAGTTGTGTTAGTGCAAGATCATCCTGTGCCCCGTGTTTCTGCTTAAACTGTACCAGATACTTTGTAATTCCCCTTTCGTCTACCTGCCATGTTGGAAATTAAACACACAGGTGGATTTCCTCCCACTTACTGCCATGTTCTTTCAATTTCATTG